AGAGTGTCGATCCTCCGACTGTCGGACAAAAAATTGGCGCACACGGTTGCGGGGCGACAGAAGCATGTTTCCCGTGTTGATGGACGCGAGAGGGTTGCCGAGAATATATTTCTCTCGTGTTGATAAACAAAGTTGTCCAATTGTTTCCTCAATGTGACAATGCCTTAAACAAAATACATGGACACAATCAGCAAAGGAATGTTGGGAATGAAAATTTTTTTTTGCCCTTCAACGTAAGGATCCCTTTCTCTTCCTTCCACCTCGTGCTGGATCTAGAGTACGCAGGCTGGGGATTACAGCAATTTGCGCAATGTGCATTGTTGATGCAAGAATCTCTGAGACAGTCGGTCTTAGCACCTTTTGCACAGGTGGGTTTTCTATGACAGTGCTGAGAACCATAGCGCTATCCTTGGCAGATGAAACACCTTCGAGGTTTAGGCTCAAAGGGCCGAGCCTCTCAGGGGAGGTATACGCTGCCTGCAAAACCTTTGGAAGTTTTGTGGACTCAAAGGTTATGACTATGTGTTTTAGTTTTCGCTCTTGGCCATCCCAACGCAAGGAGATGCGCCACGCAGCTAAATCTTTTTGGTCGGTGAGCCCTTCAAGTATTTCGGTGTCGGAGGTCATGTGACGTCAAGTTTTCCGCAAAACATTTAGCGGTGAAATGGAATTGGTGCTTAGGTGACAACGTCGATTTCACGGCTAAATTTAGTGAGGAAATTGAAGCAGTATATAGGTGACCTGACATCGGGTAATGTATCGTCAATTTTCCTGCTAAATTTAGTGAGAGATGACTCTTTTCACCCTTGCCGCCAATGTGGCAAAGGGGGAAAGGGTCCTCTCCCACATTGACATTGAGGGTTAGAAGCATTTCATGCGTTAAAATGAATGTGTTGACAACAGTACACTACCGGTGCTGTCCAGGCACGACACCCTAGTGTGGTTGCAGGGAGAGGACCCGTTCCACCCTTGCCGCCTATGCCTATATTTATTTTATTGTTGGCCGTGCGATAAAAACCCTTGTCATTATATCTCGTATAACTCAAAAGTTCAAACAACCTGCTTGTGTGGTTCGTTTATTTTGTGCTTTAGCTCGTTCACGGATCGAGTTTGCCGCAGTTGCCGCAGTGGTTTGGAATTCTCTAACACGTACACAGTCTTTCAGCATTGAATCGGTGCAAAAAAGAATGATACGCATTGTTTATAACAGTTACTTTCAGCGTCGCTTTTATTATGATGATAAATTTCTTCTTAATTGTGTTTTACTTAGGCGTTGGTCAAAAAGAAGATTTCAGTCTGATTAGATTTTTTTTTGCAATGGGTGGTAAATGGTTTGTTTGATGCTAAAAAAACTTCTGAATTCTGTCGATTTTCATGTTCCCTGTCGCGTTCCCAGAAATTTTACTGTCTTTGACGTTCCAATACATGCCTAAACTCTCACCACTTTCCCGCATGCAAATTTAATGTAATAGAATCGGATCGTCTATTTGGAACATTTTCACGAATACCTCAGTTTATCTCCGGGACTTGGAGAGTCTTGTTGAACGTTGAAACTTTACTAAATTTTGTATGAAGTCTGCCCACTATTTGTAGCCATGTTAATTTGTACATTCGATGCTGTGCGTGTGTTGTGTTTCTTCTTTTTATCATCTTGTGTGCGCCAATGTGAAGTCCCGCGTGGTTGTTTTTGGGCACTAAAATAAACAATGTGATATTATATTATTATTATAGCTTTAGCTTCATTGCGAAGAAAAGTTATGCCCAGGTATAGTTACAACTTCAGCAGTACGCCATCAAAATTATACGCGAGTGTCTGCAAAAAAAAGAAAAAAAAATTGTAGTAAAACGGAGTTTCGGACATTTTCTCTTGCACTGGACTACATGGCCTGCACGTGGCGTCAGCCCGCCGTTCTTTATGGTGGCCAGGTTAACGTAGTGGAATCTACGCTCTCACTCATCCTTTCCCCCAAGGACGCCCTCGTTTTGGTGGCAAGAAGCGTCTCCCGAACGCAGCGAAAAACACACTTCTCACTTGCCCTTTCTCCATTATGTCTCGCAGAGTGACGCCAGCGCAAGCTATGTATGACGGCGCCGACAGCCGCATGACTCATATATGACTCAAATTCAAATGAACACACATTTTGACCTTAATTATGACGAATTTATTGATATTGATTGTGCCAGGGAAAGAAGAAGGCGGCATTCAGAACAAAAGTAAGAAATGTGACATGGTTCCTCCTGGAGTAACGCTGGCATGCAAGGGGAGGGATGTTGGCATGGCAGACGCAAGTAGACACTTAGCTGTGTCGACAACGTATGTCTAAAATAAACGCAAGGCAACCGCAACAGAGTTCGATAATGATGGACATAAAAAAATAGTGATATGATTATTTAGCGGGTGCACCCCAGTGCCAATTCTATGTAAGTTCAGACTCTTAACAAATAGAAATTTAAGATGTAAATGAGCATTTAGTGACTGTATTCTCAACCGTTCCACGTTGCGCGTTTTTCAGTTCACTTTTAAATCTGATACTTATGAACCAAAAGTACCATAATGTAGCGGTAGGTGCAAAACTCTGTTTCCATAATTTAAATCGATTTATCACGTTTAGAGGACGAATTAGGGAAATGTAACGAGATAGAAACGAATATTGGAGATTTTTCACACTATGTACAAATGCTTTACAGCAGATTATTTTATACATAACTTGTGCTGTGCGTATGAGTTTCGCCACAGACAAATGCGGAAAGTGGTACCAGACACTAACGTAAAAAAGTAAGCAAAAAACTGAAAAAAAACCTAAAGTCATGGGCACAAGGACACTTCAAAAATTTCGGTTAGAATGCTTCTTTTGTTAGTTGGTCTAGATAGTTAAAAAAATAACGCAATTTTATATAATACTCGTTTTGTGTCATGCATTAGTGAGATTAGTGTGGCACTCGTTTTATTATATAAAACATAACTATGTAGGGCCCTTATTCCCGCAATTTTTAAAAGATAGTGAACTGGACATAAAACTAAAATAAGTTCTAATTGAAATCATTATTAAGTAAATAAAATTGTTTCAATAACAAAATGCAATTCGTCACCGCCCGGGAACAGATGGGATCTCATAGGCAGAAAAGAACTGAAATTGCGATCCGAACTAGTCAACAGACGAACATTAAGGTATCTGACAGGTGCCGAAGCTACCGTCAACGTTGACCAACAGCAATGATATACGATAATAATCCCTGGAGAAGGCGAAGAAGTGGGGGACTAAGGACAAACAAAAATCTTTAAACAGAGACAAACAAAATCTGCTTGGTCCTGGTATCGAACCAGGAGTTAGACACAGTAGAGCAAACCAACAAGGCTTGGATTGCTCTTGTCCAGCTGGCTTGCACCTTTGCATTAATTTCATTATCATCATAACCCTTGTTGGTGTTAGACTGGTGGCAGCTGTTAAAACCCGTTTGCTCTACTGACGTCTACCTCCTGGTTAGCTCAGTCGGTAAACCGTTCCACTGTAAATGGAGAGGTTCCTTGTTCGCTACTAGGACCAGCTTGATAATGTGGATATTTAATTATTAGTTATTTATTAATGTTTATTGGCTATTTGGTGTCTGGTGTGTAAAAATTTAAATTGTTCTCATTAACGGCAAAGGTGAAGAAGTTGAGGATTTGAGGAAGAAGAAATATAGGACTGAGTTGTAAGTCAGTGTTGCGAGTCTGTCTCCTTCTTGTGTGCATGTGAGTGTGACTGTTCATCCGCGCTGTTCCATCCAACCAGGACCAGGCAGATGTTTAAGTCGCGCACCAGTCACTTAGGTGTGTTAGGAGATTTGTGTTTGCACTTTGTCCCCCTCCCTTGTTCCCCTTCTCTAGGGATTTTTAACGTTATTCTTGTACAGTTCGCTTGCACCTTTGCATTAATTACATTATCAACACTGATGTGTACAAGTGTCGAACGTCATCGAACAGTGAGCATTGTCGAGGTGTCTAGAGATTTGAACAACGGCCGCTCTTCCCTCTACGGCTGACTAATAGTTTTGGAATGAATGGGCTCATGTGAGAATGCAACACTCGAGATCACGTGTATACATCGACGATGATATCTGCACAGTGATGTTACGCATGAATGTCGAAGGTGGGGCCTTTCAAGGGAACTCTAGTCAGGTATTCTTCTTGAACTATTTTGTTACTTTTTTGGGGTTTACGGCGAATAAAGAATGAAACGTTTTTAATTAGTTCAAAGTATATATGTGAATCTCCACATCCTAAGGAAAGCAAAAAGATTGGTTGATTAATTTAAAAACAGAACGTATAAAATAGTGCCCAAAAAGAAAACCTAAACTACCTATCTTGAATGCACCCTCACATACTTTCGTAGTATTTCTCAAAGTAAAAAAAAAAGAAATGACAAAATGAAAATTAGAAAAAAAATATTTGAAAGATTTGACAAGTGTGCTTTGTTTTCTTCTTTGGAAAACCTTTTTTTTTACTTTTTAATACCTTCTGCGTTAAATAGGATGTCAGAGTTTGTCGTAATTACAGTTAACACGGAAACATGTCATACATTTTAATGGCAGACATGTATGAGAAGCTTCTTTTAAAATTAATGACGGACATGTCAAGCTCGCTACTGGATTGACCTTTGACTGAAAGCCATTGGTTCAGTGATCAAACTAATAAAAATAATTGGCGCGAAATAATCACACTTATTTCACTCGAAGGGCAGGAATTGCTTACGAGCAGGGTACCGAAGGGCTGGAATAAATGATGTGAACACACTTAAACACAAAATGATTTGCTGTACACACGCATTACAAATTATACGCACACATTTGTCGTACACGTTTTGCATTCTCGACAGTTTTTTTTCCCCAAAAATAAAGTTTGTTCGCCTTGAACATATGTTAATAAAGTATAACTTTCAAGTTAATAAAACAATATTAAAATAGTAATAACTTGTCACGCTCTGTGTCGTTAGTGCGCCCTATTTCATTGGAAACAAGTATTTGTAATACATTTAAAGGGGCTGCGAAATGAGTAACGTTTTTATTTTTACAACTAGAGGTGGGCGTGTGCGCATAACGAAGCAAGAGGTTTTCAAGAGGAGTCTACTAATGTACAAAGTATTTGAGGACGAGACGAAGCATACCCAGAAAACATGGCCGTTCGTTAACGTACATGGGCAAAAAAGTACAAGAGCCCGCCAAAGGCAACTATGCTCCTGAAAGCTCTCTCTAAGCGCAATGAACGGTGGAAGATCGATGTCTACACTTCGGTACCCACGGTGTCTTCGGGGCGGTAGCTTCTAGGGGAATCCCGAACAGGTCTGGAACAAAGCAGAAGCGCCACAGAGTCATTGAATGCCTTCATCACTGCGTATTTCCTAAAAGCGCCTGATCTCATTATACCCGAACGTGCTGGGCTAGAATTAAAAAAAAAAAACTATTATAAGGGATACAAACGTTCCATTCCACTTGCGAGCAGTTTGTAATAAGAACTAAGCAGGAAAAATATGCTGCCGTTACCAGTTCAATTGTGAATATGTTAAGTCGTAGGGACTCCCACAGTGCCAGCGAAGAGAAGGTTATTCGGTGCTTCGAAAGGTAAATGTTATGAAATGGGGGTTAAATCTAGTTTATGTATTACTTTAATATACAGCGCCGTTGGGGTGATTGTGATTGGCTTTTCTTGTCATTGTTCTATTTGGATTGTATCATTGCCACCAATACACCAATATCTCTGGAGCCAATTTGCAACAAATATACGATTCTGCCGACATCGCAGTTAACTCATACTCAATAAGACGATGGTTTTCTTCTACTGAACTTAGTTTAGTTGTACAGTTTGAATAAACGAATGCATAAATGTACGAGTGAATACGCTGGGGACATACTCTGGAGTGAAATGTCACATTGAAAAGGTAATACATATAACTTCGACTCTTTCAATGTTTGAATGTTGCGCGAGACGCTCTCTTTGGTCAAATGAATCTTTAGCGGTATGTGAAGGTTTCTTGGAGCTTGAGACACTAGCGTCTGGTGATGACATACATAATTAAATGAACGGAAATATAATCCCAACAAGGCGTCCATCAATATTAGGCGGCTAAACTTAGTGCTTCAGGCGTCATCACCTCGTCAAGCAGAGTATTATAGAAAGGCGAAATCGTAAAGCGCCGTCCTTGTAAATTAATGAGTATACACCATAGAGTTATTACAATAAACGCTAGAGGCTCAGCTGGCGCTAGTGTGCTGTTGCAAATTGAAGCAGACAGCAAGCAGTCAGAAAATGACTTCCGGTAATGCATTTCTATGGGAAAAAGCGAGTGCATTTTCTCTCTGCGCTCGATTATAAGAGCAAATATCACGAATAATTTGTACGTGCTAGGCACATTGGAGCATTTCTCAGTCACACAGACGAAATAATTGGTCAGTTACAGCATTTTTATTTCAAATTCGCAGCATTAAAAACGGTGTTTAAACCGCTTCGTACGTGTATTAATGTGCACTGCCGGACACTGTTAGCGCGAACACGGCGTCGACGCTTTCCAGCACGGGGGATATACGTGCCAAACGAACGAACGACATGTGGAAGACGAAGAGAGACGGCAAGAACTACGCAGTAACACTGGGTAAGTAACTCCTTGTGCTTGCAGACGATCAAAATAAGTTGAAAGTCACGTAATATACTCCGATTTGCAATAAATAAGTACTGCTTTATTCTTTCTGCTCATGAATATGTGCGAAGATGCTTGTTCTCTGTTCAAATCATCACCCGCACGCTCCAAATCTTTCCAAATAGGGGGAAGCCAGAGGACAGGTGCGCGATAAAAACTGCCCCACATAGGAAATGATAAGAAAACACACCTTTCGTAGCCCACGTACTTTATTCTTTACATTTCGAACGTTTTTTTTAACCACTCGTAAAGATGCACGGCGGTGTCATTTTCATATAGTGAGAGGACAGGCATAATTAGCTATATATAAGCACCAACGGAATGCTGGCGAACTTTGAACACACCCTGCATTCCTTTCGATCGTTATTTTGCTTAGAATCGTCGCTCGTTTCTACATACCTGCCATGGAACAGAGGTTTGGGCCTGAAATATAGCGAAGTTTAGCATCGTTCACTGGTAAAGGAAAAATGATGTAACTAAAGCAATTACACTTTCACAATATTAATAAAGGTACATACTACCCGGTGCAACCGAAATAACAAAAGTTATTACTGTTATTTTCCGGCGACGAGACAAAATTCACGCGCGTTTTCCCATAGGAATACACAGGAAGACTGGAAAAGTAGACTGCATGCTGTCTGCTTCAATTTGCAACCGGAAGTCCCATAGACACTAGCGCCAGCTGAGCCTCTAGCGTTTATTGTAATAGCTCTAAGGTATACACAAGCCGTCAGCAATAAAGTGCCCGAACAAGGGATGCGCCCCGTCGCGACGGCTTAGCAACCAGTTCGATATTTGCAAAGAGATGTCGAGAGACGACCCTAACACGCGATAAGCGAAGGCAATGCCTGCGCCTCCCGCAGCAAAGTTTCATGACATAGTTGGCGCTATCGTGCAAGTTCGTCTGCTTCTTGCACTTGTTTACCCGCCAAATACGCACTTGGCTCCCTCCTAATCGCGCGCTCCCCGTGCGTTCTCTTTGTTTCCTTTTGATAGGCGTACCCTTCCTTAAGGATGGCTCATACACTTGCTGTTGGTTGCAACCGAGAACATTGACCGCTTTTTAAGCGTCTTGCAACTGGTCACGAACGGCCCCGCAGCAGCGCACCCGGTTGCAAGCGGGCATAAAAACCGATTCTAGCGCACACAGCTTCAAATAAACGCGACTGCGTGAACCAGCTTTTACGATTCGGTGCGCCAAAGACTCGTTCTGGAACACTTGCGCGCCGTATTGGGCGGTGAGGTTTTTTTTTTTTTTTTATCGCACCAAGTCTGCAAAAAAGTTGCGACGGATGTTACTTGCGCGCAAAGAATGGTAGCGCCATCGCTTACATCAGCTTTAGGAGGTACATTTACAAAGTATTTTAACGTAAGAATGGACATTGAAAGAAGCGGCATGGAGCTTGTTGCGTACCGATAGTAGGTGCCGCTGACCTTGTCGTCGGGCGTGACCCGTGGCTCCTCTTGTCAGGAGAAGGTGTCCTTGGAGACGACCGCGTTGTAGCCCGTGAGCGGCATGAAGGGCAGCCCGTTCTCGCCCGGGGGCTGCCGGTCCTCGCTCTTGTTCTGCACGGGCTTCTTCCCGCCGCAAGTCAGCGTGAACTTGAGCTCGCGGCACAATTCCATGCACACGGGCTCCTGCGAAAAAGATAGCATAAAAGGGGACGCGAAATTTCGCTTTCCAATAGAAGCCGTTCTTGATCGCCCACTTTGATTAGCGAACAAAAAGCAAGTACAACAGTTAAAAAAAATTCAGTATTTTTATTTGCAAAAATAAACTGCGCATCGTCGAAAGGCCAGTTTTTGGGAAAAATGTAGCTCAAATGTTCCGAACCAGATGCCGAAGTTTTTCGGAACAAAACGTTGCCTTAGTCAAAAGTATTATGCGAGTTTCGGAACTTTTCAATGGTGAGATGGTGGCTGACAATGCCAGGAATACATGCGGCTGAAAGGGACAAGAACGGGTCCCATTTTTTATATTTTTTGACTGGGAAACTTGATCTACGTTGGCGCATGGAGCTTGACGCTTTACACTCTCGTTGTTGCAGGTTAAGTTTAATCTTGGAGATTCCATTTTGTGTGATCCGTTTGTTTACTTCCATCTCGAGGTGCCCTTTCATTTATTTATTTTCAAAACACGTGAAAAGGCAATTGTAAATATCCTCACCGACCGACTAGAAGATGACTAAGATTGGAAAAGGATTGGCGCGAATTGTGGTCTGCTCTGGGGTGCCGCCTATGTCACTTCGTGCATAATAGATCGCATTATAGGCTCAGATTGTGTCTTAGGCTTTGTCATAAGCCGTTTTGAAAGGTCACGCCTTCTCTTACATTATAACTAGGATTCCATAAGCTTACTTCTCGTAATACTCGGATCGTGTTTTTTGGAGTTTATTTTTTTGCTAAAACTTCGCGGTTTATTTGAGTTTATTTTTGATAGATCCCCAATTATCTAAAATGCAGAATCTTTTTAAGTTTGTTCTCAATAACAATAATAATAAAAAACCCAACGAAGTCAAGGTATCATAGTTTGCTGTCCATAAGGAACATTGATGAGCTAAAACGCAAACCCTTTTTGTCACTATGAGATTTCAAAGAAAACTGGAGTGACATCTCTTCAAAACCCCTGGCTCTGTGCTCTTATAAAGTTTATTAAAAAAAACAAACAAAAAAAACGTCTCTTTTATTTTGTCGTCGTGACCCAGAAATTAAAAGTTTTTCGGATAAATCCGAATTAACAAAAAGTTACCGGCGCATGTTTTTCGGATCTTTTTTTTTATTTAATGGAACGCAGGAATCCTACTTTTAACGCCATGAATTTAATTTGGTCAATATGCTGCGAACACAAAAAAATAATAATTAGAAAAAAAGGACATCGCGATATAAACGACGAAGGACAGAAGAAGAGTACAAAGACGGAGCGCTGACTGTCAACTGTTTATTTTTGAGAAAAACATTTTACATATGGTTTGTTTGCTGCGACCACGCCGATGGGCGTTAGTTACAAAGTAAAAAAGGTGACAGTCAGCGGTCCGCCTGTATGCTCCTCTCTGTCCCTCGTCGTTTTTATTGCGCTTTTTTTGTAATTATGCTTAACCAACTCGCCCAAATTTGCACTCTGTTACTGTACATTGAGCAATGCCGCAGTGTGCAGCTAAGTTGATATGAGTTGCTACAACATGATTGCAGAGATATGAGGTGCTACAACATGATTGCAGAGATATGAGGTGCTACAACATGATTGCAGAAAAGAAGAATGGTTAGATAATTACCGCGCTTTGAGCTGAACTGTTCCATCTTTGAAGATCGTGGGTATACTCTTTAAAGCAAGCACGTATGCCAGGAAGCGGGCATGCGGTGCAATATTTATAAGTGTAAGATCCGCTAGTGTATTGCATTATCAGCCGTCAATGTGACACGAACGAAAAATAAACCATCAGTGTCTGCCTTCGGCTGGTCGAGGCGGCCTCTCATACATAACAGTGTCACACTCCTGTTTTTAATACGTTAGCATTAGAACGGTCGTTTTCATGAAAACCCGCCGGTGTCAAGGTGTGCGTCTGTTTGTCAGCGCCATGCATGAAGTCGCGAGGAGAGTGGGGTGGTGAGGAGCCTTCGTGTATGCGGCGAGCAAAGAGGGGAGTGTGACGCGTGCTGACGTCAGCGGTTCGGACCAATTCGAGCGTCGCACAGCTGGCGCGGAGTCAGAGTCGAGCAGGCGCAGCACCGCTTATGAATGCGGCCCAGCTCACTTGCCGCTCCGGCGATGGATGTGCTTCTTTTCACGAGTAATCTGACTGACCCTATCCAAGAGCAACGACGGAAGAAAGCCGAGGCCCCGCGTTCATTGAATTTTTTACATCCCCTATCGGACGCCCACGATGGTCAGAAATTGTACACGAGCGCTTCGTTACCCTCAGTCTGGAAATTTGTTTCTGATTAGACATCGAATCCCAAACGGATGCTGACGCGACACTTCCTTTAATCTGTGCTTCGTGCTGTCCCGCAGTAGGTGTTGTGGAACATCCAGCATTCGGGTTTTGTCCTCTAAGAGGAGCTGGTCAAAGGTGCAGCGCGGCCTCACCCTCTCTTCGGGGACCGCCTTGCGTGACCTCCAGATGAACTCGAAGATGGCTGTGATGCAGGCGATGCAGGACCCCGTGAGGAGGACGACGAAGACTCCCCCCACGTTGGCGAGGCCCAGGGCGCTGGTGCCCTTGGAAGCGCTTGCCTCCTCCTTGGGGCATTTCTTGACTATGTGCCGCTTTTTCCACCAGCGCTCTTTGAGGACGTGCAGCGTGCCGCTCTCCTGCAGCTGCAGGATCGCCTGCGACAGCATCGTCCGGTACGGGGAACCTGCACCATCAAACACAAAAACAAGCAAAGAGAAATGTTTTTTTATATACAAACGATTGTAGAACTTCGTGTGGGCAGAGAGAGAGAAAAAAAGTGTCCTACATGCTTACGTGAAGAGGCTTATCAAGTGATATAACTTTGCTTGCGTCGCCATTATAAAAAAAGGAAAGATATTTGGTTTGAACTAACTTGAGCAATCAGTGGGAAAAATAAACCAATAGATCCCTTTCGAAAGTCACATGCCGATTATTAGTAGGTCAGAACCACTGCACAATGGCTGGACAACTGACATCGTGAAACGTGCAAGCCTTTCCATAAGATAGTGAAGGTCGGAGCGCCGCCAACGCTGGGAGCCGACGAGCCAATCAAACAGCACCGAAAGTGTAACGTGACTGCGCTCGTCACCGTTTTCTATGGGTGTGTTTTTTCTTCTGATTCAACCAAACGCATAAAGTGTGGCGTGACGTTGCTGTTTTAGTCCGCCATCGTGCAGGGATTTTGGATCTGTCAACATAGGGCAGTCTTTTAAGAGGGGTCTGTAAAAAAAAGTCAAAGAATAGAAAGCATCCGGACCATATTACTTTTACGGTGATTATTTTTTTTCGCCTTTATTGCATGGTTATTTATATTCATTATAATCAATTTCTTTTGAAAATAATTGTAGTTATGCATTATTGTTGGTTTAAGAATTAGCAATAAACATTATGCAGGGTAAACTGCAAGTACTTGTTCGTTTAATGTACTCACGTAAAAGGCGCCTCTTTAGCTTGACAGCAAGTTATTTAGTGTTATACGTTTTTTTTTCAGGGTGTACGCATTTTTTCTCTTGATGGAAAATTAAACCACGTTGTCAAGCCTCTAATATCCAATTGTCATTGCTATGCCTCGCTCTACTTATAGGCTCGAGTGCTGACTGATCAAACTGTAAGAACAGCACTGCACGCATAAGACATATGCCTGAATGCAGTAATATAAATATATTAAACTATCTTTAAAAGGGTCGCCCGCCAAGATAATACGAAGCTCATTGAAACCTCTGCATTACTGAACTTTTAAAAGGACTTTTTTTTACCAACACAAGTGGCGCGACCTTTATCTGATATAACGATATAATTTTGCTTTGTCCTCGGGATATAAAATAGTTACGCAGGAGCAAAACTCACAGCATGAATATAGAGGGTAGGTGATTTTAATCCAGCCTCGGCGGTCATTAGATGAAGCCATAATCATCATGGTTAGTTTATTAATTAGCGAAACTATGTTAATTAGCATTTGAATGATTCACTTTATGTGTTACGTTGCGATTGCTGTATTGACGGGAATTACAATCGGAGGCAAGACGAACTAAAATAATTTGCAAAATTGTAACGTTTTTTTAGATATTAATACATTTTCACGTTTTTAACACGATTTCAAAAGTGCGGACAAAAAGCGCGCCACAACAACACCACCTAGAAGACAAGGCCGTAGTGCTGGCATTTTTGCGTCCCCAGCGAATGCCAACCCTGAACGCAGATTGCAAACGAGTGTAACCCCCCCCCCCCCCCCCCCCCCTCCCCTCCCCTCCATCAGCGCTCGACTTCAAGTCAAGCCTGAGCCGAACGTTGACGGAATCGTCGTATCCAATTTGTGCCCAGCGATGGCCTTCGCTGATGGCGACATCAAATTAAGTACTATGGCTTTGTTATCCAGGAAGTGTTGGCCGCAAGGCTTGCCCTCAATGACGCTGAGAAGAAGAGTGGTTGTTTGGGCGAGTTGGTTTGACATCTTATACAATCGTGTGCGCAACAAAGACGAGGACAAAAGCAGAGAAGAGGACACAACAAGGCGCAACTTTTCTTTCAACTGAATTTTCAATAAAATTCAGTTGAAAGTTGCGCCTTGTTGTGTCCTCTTCTCTGCTTTTGTCCTCGTCTTTGTTGCGCACACGATTGTATAAGACGCTGAGAAGAGTCAGATTGTCGTTTCAATCATGTCGTCACTATCATGGCAGCGTGTTTTTGTTGAGTACGCATACGACACAAGTGACGAAGTAATTGAAATGAATACGTCACTTTTCTAAGCTTCATTGTGGGCAGGGTTTGCGGCTTGCATTTTCCGCGCAATGTTTAAGTCGTGAAAGTTTACTGACGAATATCTAAAAAAAACATTCACTTTTGCAAACGATTTTAATTGGTGTGCCCTCTAAATGCAAGTGCCGTCAATACCGCAGTCGGAACATAACCCCTAAAACTAATCATTAAAAAGTTAATTAACACATTTTAGTTAATTGGTCAACGTACCATCTTATGATGACTGCCGAAACTGATACATGCATGGTGTAGACGGCACTGGAATAACTTACTAATAACTTAAAAAAATCATTGAAAAATAAAATACATTTTCTGTAGTATAGACATAACATTTAGGCGAAGTGCTTGTGAAATGAAAAATGGAGAGGGAACCTAGCGTTCTTCCTCTCTTCCCGAACCGATGTTACCGGGTGGAGTTGCGATGCCGTAGCCTTTGTTGTCTAGGAGCGATCCGATCTGCGTAAGGTCGCAGTTCCTTTCGATGGCGTATTCGATGGAGGTGGACTCCATGAGATAGGCGTACTTTCCGCGACGCACTCTCTCTATGCCCTTCTGATTGGATTCGGTAAAAACGCTCGGCCGGGCCGCCTGCATCACGTGCCACATTTTCTTGTATGTCGGAAACTCTGATTCCTGAAAAAAAAAAAGAGAAGAAAACGAAGGTTTCAGGGTACATTGGTGAATAACAAAATGTTGCTGCTAGTGCTACTCAGTACTATCCCGAATAAGAAATAGCCACACCGTAGTACGAGGCTGACCTTACCCATGGCTGTGCAAGCTATACAATTAATGTGATATTCAAAATAAAATGCCCGGCCATATTTATTATGCTGTAGATTTCTTTCGTGACATCTTTGCACGTTCAAGGGTACCGTCGTGGATAGACCAACCGTGCCTTTCCCAAAAGTCCCCACGCCTTAGCTACCTAAAAAAAATCTATACGATTTTTTATTTGATCAAACTAGTACGTGAATGTGGGTGGGGTAAAGATTTTTTATTAGGTTTTGAAGTTGTATTGATCTGCGCTGGCATAAAAGACAGTTTGAACACAAGAACGTCTTGTCACGAGGTTGACTTATATAAGTGGCGTTATTAAAAGCGCGAGAGTTGAGCGCCCACCTTAAAGAAGGACTGGGTCGAGCCGGATTGCAGGCTCCCGTACTGGATGGTGGTCTGCTTGGCCAGATCCTCCACGCTCTCGATGGGAGAGACCAGGCGCTCGACCGTGAGGAAGGCGGCAAGGTTGGCCGTGTAAGAGGAGACCATGATCAGCGTGAAGAACCACCACATGCCCGCGGCGACGCGGGTGGACAGGGCCCGCGGTGTGACGTCGCAGCCCTGTTGCATGAGGCAGCCGATGGTGAACCAGAGGGTGTTCCAGATGGTGAAGCGGTTCTCCAGCTCAGTGGGGTTGGGGTCGCATGGGTGTGGATTGACCCACTCGTACGGGCTGAACCGGGCCACTACGAAGAGGAACAGGCTGACCCCGAGGAAGGCCGTCGACATGTAGATCCACACCTCGAGAGACAGTGGGGCCAGGAACGAGAAGAGCCACGGTGGCTTCTTGTCCGCCTTGCGGTACAGGATGCTGATGCCCAGGTTCATGAAGGGCATCGTGAAGTCGACCACCTCTTCGCGCACGTACGTGATGGTCAGGTCGGCGATGGCAAGGTCGGCTTTCTGACAATGAAAGCATAAAGATTAGGGGAAGAGCGGAAAACACGCTGTTGACATATAAGCCCTTATTTGCGAAAACTACATGTGGGCACTGCATGTGTCAAGAAACCAGATTCACGAGAGGTTCTGTTCATGAGCTGTGACGATGGCGGTACCACCGCGTCGGCGTGGCAGTGAAGCCAAGCGATCTATGATGATTCATATTCTTTAAACAAAACAAAAAGGTCATAAAATTATCTCGCCCAGAGTAGACTTAGTTTTCGAGTATCCTGTTGCTTTTCCGTGTTTTTTAGCGGTTGGTTTATGCTAAACTATACCCTTAGACCTTTCTATTAACGTGACGTAGAGAAGGTGTGCGATATGACGCGACACAAAATCTGAAACTGGTGTGAAACTTGTGTGACATTCAATAGTTTCTATAAATTCCCCTGCTGCTACTTGTGTCGGAGAATTACCCAACGCACTCGTTCAACAAACACGTAGTAACTCATTCACCGCCATCGCCCGCGCCGTGATCCTAAGAGCCTCCGCGGCGGAGCGCCGCTCGCGTGACCAGTTGCACTTGACTCCCTCCCGGTGGAAATGACCACGTACGATTTGGCATGCGGATAACTTGGTTCAACGCTTTGAATCCCCAGGTTGCCCACAAGTTGGAAGCTACGAACACAATAGTTGGAAAATTTTCGTACGCCGTATTACTGAAAAAAGGTTACGACTACCAAAAGATCCAAGTAGGTATACGTGAGCAATGGAGTACCAGGAAAGAAGTAGCTGGTAATTAAGGTTGCTCCGAAATATGTGGGTATAGCTTCACGCTTTACCCACACAGAGAACTACATAAAATAATGTACAGAAAATAATCTGTATACTAAAAATCAACATTCGGTCGCAATAACAAAAAAAAAAAAAATAGTGACGAGCGAGCCATACATTTTAGAATCTTTGAGTACTTCAGTGTCCTGGTTTACAAAAAAAAAATATATGCAAATCAAATTATGTCTGTTTTATCTCTTGAATTAATAAAAATAAATGGGTATAATGATTACAAGGAAGAGAAAAAAAAATACAATTTCTTTTTATTGGTGAACTCTATATGGAGCAATAAGCTCGCACAGCATCCCTGAAACTTTGTGACGGTTCCGGTCGGTTTACGGGCAGACGGCCACCATTGAGAAATATTAAGAAATAATTTGAAAGCTTTTTACTACCGGTTTTGTCACCTGGTAACTACTAATCCTCTCATCCTTGTCCTACTCAATGGAAAGGAGTCATTGGGCTGCGCTCACAAACAAGTTGTCAAATCACGTTTGCTATGATATCTCCATCGATCAGATAGAGGCAACCACTGCTATGTTTTTGATTGAGCTAAAAGTGGATAACAGCATAAAAAATGAACGCACAGCACGCTGAAACTACCAGAACGTGTTAGCAACAGGCACCCCAATTTTTTCTATATAAATACTCCATAATTACTATTGATACCACAGAAATGTACCAACAAAAACGAGATAATTAAAAAGTTTGAGTATGTGATATGATGTACAGTAACTATAGAGTAAAGAAGTATTATAAGGCTAACTTGTGATCATTGCGTCTACGCAGTTGCATGGCAATATAGATCAACAATGCTCAGCTCTACGAATGTAATAAAACTTCAATTCGCAAAAAAAAAAAAATTGTTTCCTGTACATGTTTACTAAAAAGAAACACATCAATGAACGAGGATATCTTAGACAAAACAATGGAAACAGCAATTTTAGTAACATACAGTTAACACTATACCTCTCAGCGGCTTATAACCTCCTCCTCTCTTCCTAAAAAAACAAACAAACACATGAACAAAATAAGTTGCAGAGTAATGCGAACGCGGTAAATTATTAAAATACTGGAAAAACACGAAAGACGTCAACTTGCATGTAATTAGGAGCCCCAAAACAGTGTTTGTAGGTATGTAGGTTCAATAGTACAGCGAAGGTGGTAAGTTGGGCTAGTTGGTGATCGTTGTGCATGATGACTAGCAGCGTTCAAAGGAACAGGACAAACAAACAAACATATTTCAGTTGTGAGACAGCGTGTGTGTACAGTATTCGCTCCTTCGTCCCGCCCTTTTGAGCGGTGTTTTTTTTATCATGCAATAATATAAAAAAATTCGCTCATTTGCGTGGATAATTTTGTTCACCTAACTATACGCGATGATTAGAATCAGTCCAAAACATATTAGGATACGCTTACGCATAATCGAGTCACGTATCCCGCCTCTCCAGCATTGCTAAAGGAGAGCCAAACGCGAAGTTGCCTTTACAGAATCGGCCACAGATGACGTGCACTCACCCCGTGAAGCAGCTCTCCGATCATTCCATTCCACTCGTTCTTATCGTCTCTCCGCCCATGGGCCTTGTCCGCCACTTCGCGTATCTTGTACTTGAGGCTGATGTCTGGTAACTTGGAGATTTCTTCCAGGAGATCGATGCAGTACCCTTCGTACTTTGCATTTCCTTCCAACTCCGCATGGTTCTCCTTAAGCATTGTGTACGGGGCTTGCTGAGAAGAAAGGCGGAAAGGAACTGTGGTCAGTTATCATGCATTTTGGGTCTTTCAATTACCGAAAATTGGTCTAGGGTAGATATTTTTGACACAAATGAAATTTTAGCTTGTTACTGCAACGAAATTACAGACATGATTAGATCGGAGCACACGCCTTGCGACATAGTTACTAGTGCTTACGTTTAGACCGTCTCACACCAAGTTTCAGCTAACATGCTTTCGAACAACTGCTAAGGGTTGACTTCTGGTGATACATAAAACCGAATGCTTAAGCCAGCGACATAGAAACTCCTTAATGCAACCAGTAAATGGCGTTTTCAAAAGTAATAGTTTTTGGTTGAATTGGTAGGATAAAAAATAACAACTAAAATTAACTATCAAAATGTGTCAAACTTTACAAGAGAGATACAGAAGCGTTTGATTAGAACCATTCAATTTGAATTTTCATATAGAAACAGAAGGCTTCTTCTAATTGAAGTTCAATGCTCACTATGAAATAACTGCGTCTGAGATTATCTGCGACTCATAAATATTACATATTACATTCAATTTGAAATTAAAGCAATGAGGCAACGAGGGGCGTCTTACCACTAGAGTGGTCACAATGAGTGTCTTGTTCATGAGGTGAAGGCGGGCTTCTTCCAGTTGTCTTGAGTAGTTTGTTGTTATGTTTATGCCGCCGTGCATCGTCCATTCACCAGCCTGAAAACAGAAATTATTCAAGAATGTCAGTAACTGCCAAGAGTTCTTTTTCGTACGATGCAGACACATACCTCTCTAAGGCCGTTGTGAGTGATTTCTAAAATTGCGAGTCGCATGTCAGTACGATGGCCGTTCGGATTAAATCGAATATTTCCAGTGAGTCCTTGTACGTTTATCTGAAAAAAAAAGATCTGGAACATTGGTGATCACTGAAGACGTTAGAGGAATAATTGAGTGTTATTTAAGTTGTGTCAATCTAAAAATACCCGCGTACCAAATTTACCACAGAGTACGCGAAGTGTCAATTGCTGATATTTGTTTCCGATCGCTATCAATCGCTTTACCAGCTCACCTTCACAGCTCCACTGGAATGTATTTAACTATATTTGTTAAGCCCTGAGCTTCGACTGTTAATTGCAGTTAAGTGGCTTTTTGAAATCGCCCATGGAAAAGCAGACTCGTTGACACTTTCTAAAGTTATAACGCTTTGTTCATTTTACAAATAGCGTTTAAACGCATTCTCTGGCGATTTTCTTTAGCTAACCCTATTAATTATGGTTTTTGAATTTCTGACTTCATCCTTTCCGGCATGCTATTCAGCATCTCAATATTCAAAATAGTTGTTATGAAATCGGCAAATGCCAAACAAACATTCAGTTATATCCGCAATTTTTAGTGCCATGACCACACTGGTAGGCATTGTTGCAGGTTGAATAGCCAGTCTTATAAACAGCATGCCGAGCATTTGTTTCGTGCTGCTCCGCTTGTGCTGGAGCTAGCTTCCGAAGCATTCATTTGACAGTCTGCAACTACTTGTAATCAGCTGGGAAGAAATTCTAGAATCCAAAGAATGAACCACTGCCTGCCGCCGGCGTCACTTTTTCCTTGTTGACAGTTGAAACTTTCAATTTAACAAAACGCGATGATGTCCAAACTTGTCAGTTATATAACTTTGCGAAGCAAAATCATATTGATCTAATATTTTGGTTCAGCAATGTTCGTTGGTGTGTTTGGTCAACTCTGAGGTAAATCGGGGACCACAAAGAAAACGCCGGAAGCGAGACAGTTTGGAAAACGAAATCCTACCATTCTCATGTATTTCACGAAGGAGTTTCCCTGTGCCCAGGGCTCCTCGGTTTCGCAGGACAGGGGCCGCACTTGGATCTTGGGTCCGTTGTCTGGTTGCAAGTCTCGGAGCGCCGTTGCGAAAAGTCGCACGGCGTCGTACATTAGGGCGACTTTGGTCTGTGACGGAAGAAAATGTCACGTTGCTATTGGCAGCAAGATAAGACGTGGATTTTGCAGATATACGTAGACCTGCGTCGCCAAAAAGCATCTAGCTATAACAACAAAAAATATAGTTCTAACTAAACAATTTCATACTCCAGAAATATCAAGAAACATGTAGTTAGTCCAGCCGATGTTTTCTCGTGATTAGTTATGTAACGATGTTTAGATGATTTTATCTGTCTTACTTATGATCTGCCTCACTCCGCATAACAGAAGGGCGATTCGATTGTTCACCTTTGGTTTTAATTTTTTTATGAGCCGAATTAAACCAACTTTTGTTTTCCTTTTCAAAGATAGCCTAGCTGTAGGAAAACTACAGCCCTGACCTATTGGGTCATGCACGGTATTTTTTTTGTGTTCGATCTATTAGGGATATATATCTTTTTCTTGATATTACCGCAATTTCTCCTTGGTCTCTGCAATTTTTATGCAATTATTTTTTTTCTTTTGAGGATGTTTGAATGTTTTGTCATGACCTTGAAATATTTGGTACGGAAATGAAACTTTGTCACTCTGCATCAATTCTATTTCACGCATCGTGGATATGAAATATTTTCTGCGTTCTGGTTTCTGCTAGGTTGCTTGCATAGCACTCCTCGCACAGATGAACAATTTAAAGCATATAATATTTTACTAAACATGACCTACAGCACTGAGTGGTATGCAAAATAACTTGTTAAGTAGGAACAACATAAGTATAACTATACTATAACGTAGGATACTCAAACGAACATCGGTGAAAAGAATGACACGCGAAGGCATATCGTCCGCAATTTCCTTTAGTTGGTTACTTACCGTAAGATTCTGCAGGTGTCCATATATTCAGCAAGAAAAGAAACGTAAGGACAGTTAATACTCCGTGCCGACACTTCCTGATGGCAAAATGATAAGGAAAGTAAAAAGTAGCCTTTGAGTGACTGTTAATATGCTAAAACATGTTCACCCTGTAGAAGTTTTCTTCTTTCTCTCCCTTCTTGCTGAAGCGCAGCCTTCGTGTGAGCCAGTCTCGAGCGACTTCGTCAAATTCCTTCGCGTTGACGTCCACTAGCCGGAAGCCGGAAATATTGGTGCCGCCATATTGAAAATCTTCCATGTCCACCGTGTGGGCATCCTGCGCCGTACGTACAATCGATCATCTCTGAAAACTGGGTGGCTTCAGTGATTGCACTCAAGCAATCACGCCTTAATAGAGTGTTTCTAAATAATATCATTCGGAGTATATGGATGTCATATACTGGCGTTGTCATGACTTAGGACCCCTTTCCGGAGCCTCAGTAAGCTGTGAGATGAGATGATATGCCCAAAAGAAAAATAATATGATGTACACATATTCGTATATATAGCACCCCAAGATACGGGTTGCAGCTGGGTTAGTTAGGTTATGGTTGCTGATAAAACCAACTGAATGTGTATAGATATGTAAAACAAAAAAATATATAAAAATAAAAATAATACCAGCGTTTTCTTACTTTTATATATATATATATATATATATATATATATATATATATATATATATATATATATATATATATATATATATTGTCAGGAAGACAGAAGCTCAACGACCGCTTTCAGTGATGATTATATTCGAACTGGCCCGCGGTTGCGAGCACGGGCCACATGAGCTATCGGTGATGACGATGATGGGGTAGGTATGACGATGCCCGATGACGACGATGAGGGTCTTCATCACATAACCCCCCTCCTCGGGGGGGGGGGGGGGGGGGGGAGCTATTGCAGTGGTGGGTGGTATGGTTTCAAGCGGTTCACGTGTAGAACTTCCGTAGGTCGACGGCGGCCATCCGAGGAGGAAGAAATGGGCTCAGCGAGGTTGGAGACAGGTGATGTTTTCTCGGTGATTCGATAGGGACCGATGTACTTGTGGAGGAACTTGTCCACTCGGCCAGGTTGTCGGGCTGGTGTAAAAACCCACACAAGGTCACCAGGGGAGTAAAAAGTGTTCGTGTGGTGCTTGTCATAGCGGTCCTTGGTGACATGTTGATGCCGCGACGTGCGGAGCTGCGCGAGCTGGCGGCATTCTTCGGCGCCAAAGATGAGGTTCTCTAGGAGTTCACTTTGATTGTTGATTGAAGGAGCCAGAGGAAAGATGGTGTCCATTGTGCATGATGCTTCGCGTCCGTACACTAAATGGAAAGGGGAGTAGCCCGTGGTAGACTGGAGGGCAGTATTATAGGCAAAAGTTACGAACGGGAGTACAGTGTCCCAGTTCGTATGGTCGGGGGAAACATACATGGATATCATGTCTGCAAGGGTCTTGTGAAAACGTTCGGTTAAACCGTTTGTCTGTGGATGATATGATGATGTTGTTTTATGAATTACGTTACAGGCTTTCAGAATAGCTGTATGTGTACTCGAAAGAAACTGCCGTCCTCGGTCGCTTAAGAGGACTTGTGGCGCACCATGACGTAGAAGTATGGTGTGTACAAAGAATTGAGCAATTTCTTCAGATGTCGCAGAGGTATGCGCGGCAGTCTCGGCGTATCTAGTTAAGTGGTCAACGGCCGTGACTATCCACCGATGACCATGAGAAGAAGCGGGGAACGGACCGAACAAATCGATTCCTACTCGTTCGAAAGGCGCACTGGGGCAAACTAATGGTTGCAGCAAACCAGCAGGGGCAGTGGTTGGACGTTTTCTACGCTGGCATTTCAAGCAGGACTGAACATATTTAAAAACAGTTGTCTGAAGCTGCGGCCAGAAGTAGCGTTGCCTAATGCGAGCGTACGTTTTGTTAAACCCCATGTGTCCTGAAGTAGGGTCATCATGAAAAGATCGAAGAATGTCAGTGCGCATATTACGAGGAACTGCGAGAAGCCAGCGGTGTCCTGAAGGGGAAAAGTTGTGCCGGTAGAGTATACCATCTTGGAGAGAGAAGTTCTGTAACTCTTTTCGCAACTTTTTGTGAACGAAGTTATTCGGTTTCTTAAGGTGGTCGATGATGCCTTTGATCCATGGGTCTTTGGATTGCTCATGTGTAATAGAGTCAAAATGGAGTGCTGAGACATCAAAAACGTCATCCATGTTTTCAAGCCGTTCATCTGGTTTGTCTACTGGACATCGAGATAGGCTGTCAGCGTCTGTATGTTTGCGCCCAGATTTGTATACTACTGTGTAGTTGTATTCCTGAAGCGCAAGCGTCCATCGACCAAGTCTGCCAGTGAGATCTTTCAAGGAAGAAAGCCAACATAACGCGTGGTGATCGGTCACAATAGTAAAATGTCTTCCGTAAAGATATGGCCGGAATTTGTTAATGGCCCAAACGACAGCTAGGCATTCTTTCTCGGTTATAGTGTAATTCTGTTCGGCGGCGGAGAGCATTCGGCTCGCATAAACCACAACATATTATTTTAGTGTGTTGGGATCGCTCTGCAATAGAACAACACCAAGGCCATATCCACTGGCGTCGGTATGCAACTCTGTAGGGGCAGAGTCATTAAAGTGCCCCAGGATTGGATCGGACTGGAGAGTGGCTTTGAGAGAGTGAAATGAGTCTCGACATTCAGGGGACCAGATGAATGGTGCATTGGCCTGTAACAACCGTGTAAGTGGGGCAGCCAGTTGGGCGAAGTGAGGCACAAAACGGCGAAAATACGAGCAGAGTCCTAGGAAACTACGAAGTTGTTTGATATTAAGAGGAACAGGAAATTCGTTTACTGCCTTGAGCTTGTCTGGGTCGGGCCGAATGCCATCTTTATCTACTAAATGCCCAAGGATCTTAATTTGTCGAGAGGCAAAGCGGCACTTTTTTGTGTTGAGTAGGAGGTTAGCTTTTGTGAGACAAACGAACACTTCGGACAGGCGAAGGAGATGGTCGTTAAACGTACGAGAAAAAATAATAATGTCATCAAGGTAGCAAAGGCATATGTGCCATTTAAGGCCACGGAGAACGTTATCTATCATGCGCTCAAATGTTGCCGGCGCATTGCAAAGGCCAAAGGGCATCACGTTGAATTCAAAAAGACCGTCAGTTGTAATGAAAGCTGTTTTTTCTTTGTCTTCTTCCTTCATTGGTATTTGCCAGTAGCCGGTCTTTAAATCCAGGGATGAAAAATATTCGGCTCCTTGTAGGGTGTCTAATGTGTCATCAATCCGTGGTAAAGGGTATACGTCCTTGCGAGTGAGCTTATTGAGTCTACGGTAATCAACGCAGAAACGTATGCTGCCGTCCTTCTTTTTTACAAGGACTACTGGTGAAGACCAGGGGCTCGAGGATTGACGGATGATCCCCTTACGCAGCATTTCTGACACCTCTTGGTCAATAATACGGCGTTCTGAAGGAGACACGCGATATGGGCGTTGGTGAACTATTTCTCCAGGAGGCGTATTGATCGTATGTGCTACCGAGTTTGTTGTGCTTGTGAAGGACGTGTAAACGTCAAAGCACGATTGGAAACGAGTTAATAAATTAATTAATTGCTTTTTATGAACCTCTCCTAGGTCAGAGTCAATGGCATTCAAAAGTATTTGGTTGGATATAACAGGCAACGTTGGAGGGTCAAAATGATGTGTTGATTCGAGCGAAGCAAGTTCCAAAGAATTATGTGGTTCAATACTTGCGACGACTGTGTCCCTTACGAAAAGAAGTGGCTGGTGTGTAACGTTACATACAGGGAGTACTGTTTTGGCTTCGGTAAGTTTAGATAGGGCATAGGGTACGATGAACCCGTGTGATAGCAAGACGGTAGACAGAGGAGTTACTAGAAAACTCCCCGAAAGGCTTGGTTCGCTCGAAAAATTCACCAGGAAAGATGCTAGCGGGGGAATGACAGTATCCTCACAGGCCCGTAATTTGGTTTCAACGATTATGGAATCAGACTCGCGGTTATTTGAATCCCCCAAACTGACGCCTTTGCAATTAATGACAGCTTCAGCAGATTGAAGAAAATCCCAGCCTAGAATCAGATCGTGTGTGCAAGACGACAAAACCATGAACTGAATGGTGTGGCACGTACCTTGTATGAAAACGCGAGCCGTGCACTGAGCGGTGGGATGAATGATGTGTGTGGACGCCGCCCGTAATGAACAACCATGTAGGGGTGTTCTAACTTTGTGAAGACGTAAGCAAATGTCCTCTCTTATCACGGAAGTAGCTGCCCCTGTGTCAACTAAAGCGTACAGGAGTAAGCCGTCGATATGTACTTCGATGAGATTGGATGGGTCAGAGGGAGGATGATGAAGACTCTCCCGTGACGCAGTTGCTGCTCCAACAACTGCGGAACCTACTTTCCCGTATTGGGCCGCGCGTCTCTCCTCGAGATCATGGGTGAGAAAGAGCGAGGATACGGAGATGGGGAGCGGCGCCGTGGAGCTTCCGGACGACGTGCGGGATAGGGATCCGGGGGTGGAGACTGATCCCGCGGCTGGTTCCAATACCCTCTGTTGTTTCGCTCTCGACTATAGTAGTCGCGGGTTTCGTAGTCCTGTTGTCTTCTTCGGCAAACTCGTGCCACGTGGCCGGTAATCCCACAATAATGGAAGATTGGACGCGGCCGATATCCCCAGGATCCGTAGTTGGGATAAGTGGGGCGGCTGCTTCAAGAGGGTAAAGGACCCCTGTTAAAAGCAGGCGAGATAGAAGCCAGAGCAGGAAGGTCCGGAATCAGTTGGGGAACTCCCGAAAAGAAGTTTCATCAGAAGTTCGAAGTCCATCGGTGACTTTAGGGGAAGTCTCTTTTGGTGTGACGACAGAAGCAATCTCCTGTTGGATAATGCGGCGCAACCCGCTGTCGTCGCTCTCAATTGTCTGGTGGCTTGCAGCAGGTCGGAGAAAATGTGAAAGTTCATCTCGTACAATTTTCTGTATCATTTGCTTCAGGGTATCGGTCGATAAAGAAGGCATGGTAATTGATGAGCCGTCATGCAGTGCTCGAACCTGAAGACGGGAGTTGCGGGCCTCATCCAGCCTTTGGCAATGCGTGGTGATGTCCTTAACAGTCGTGGGATTTTTACAAGAAGGACGTTAAATGCCTCTTCAGAGATCCCTTTCATTACATGGCGGACTCGGTCGGCCTCCGACATGTCCTTGTCGCAACGGCGGCAAAGTGCGAGGACATCCTCGATGTAGGAAGTATACGTCTCGCCAGAAGATTGAATTCGTGCTGTCAACTTTCGTTCAGCTACAGCTTTACGATTGGCGGGTTTGCCGAAGATTTCGGCTAGCTGGGTTTTGAATAGCAGCCATGTCACGATTTCATCTTCATGGTTGGTGAACCAGATCTTGGCGACATCGGAGAGATAAAAAATAGCATTCCGCAGTTTCGCCTGGTCGTCCCACTTGTTATAAAGACCCACTCGCTCGTAGACGTCCAGCCAGTCCTCCACGTCGTCCTCTCGGAGTCCGGCAAAGGTTTTGGGATGTCGGAGCTGGCTGGGGGCAGGGCTGACTGCAGCTGCAGAGGCACCGGATGAGGATTGGCCACTGCTGGTCATTGTCACTATTCGCCTTCTGGGACGAAGCTCCAGAGTGATGGAACGTCGCTACTGGGATCCTTACCCCGCACCTCCACCAATAATGTCAGGAAGACAGAAGCTCAACGACCGCTTTCAGTGATGATTATATTCGAACTGGCCCGCGGTTGCGAGCACGGGCCACACGAGCTATCGGTGATGACGATGATGGGGTAGATATGACGATGCCCGATGACGACGATGAGGGTCTTCATCACAATATATATATATATATATATATACGTTCAGCTGGTATTATCCGCAAACACCCCGAAATACTACGAGTTAATTGATTACTCGGCCGCGAATGATTTCTGTTTCAACTGAAAAGTGCGCTGGATTGTTCAATGTTCTAATGCATATTACAAATAATGCCGTCGAGTCGTCAGGGTTTTTATTCCTGTGATATGTGTGCAAGAAGCACGTTATGTTTACTGTGCGACAGAGATGGCCGAAACGTGATATTTAGCAATTTATCACGTTTGCTCCCATCGGTTAGCGTCGACTACCAAATGCAACCTAACAAAATGCTGCAACTCACGAGGACACTTTACCACAATGGTAATTTCCGATATAGTTTTGATAGAACAGCGCAGATGAACAGTCACACTCACATGCACACAAAAGGAGACAGACTCGCAGCGCTGACTTACAACTCAGTCCTATATTTCTTCTGCCTCAAATCTTCAACTTCTTCACCTTTGCCGTTAATGAGGACAATTTAATTTTTTTTTACTCACCAGAGACCAAATAGCCAATAAACATTAATAAATAACTAATAATTAAATAAATAAAATACAACTAAACTACGATTAAAAAAGTAAAAATTAAAAATGAACAATTAAGCGAAACATTTTCTTATCACTATTGGTGCTTTGATGACCCATCTCTAGATAATCCAATTCTTTCTTTGACAAAGCTAATGATGCTACACTAACACATTGGTTGTCAAACCTGGCTATTTTTTCAGCTTCGATGATCTCTCTTGTCAGCTGATTACCACTTCTGGCAATGACAGTGCAGTTACTCAGGTCCGCTGAACACCCGCAATCCCGGCAATGGATTCCTAGATTTCCTGATATTACTCTCTTTATGTTGTAATGATGTTCTCGTAACCGGTCATCGAGGCACCTCCCGGTCTGCCCGACATACTGTTTTCCGCTATAGCCTTTTTGTGGCTCAAAATTAATGTAAAAAGTTGGCTATTGCGCCTTCGAAACATTTGTGTTGCGCTCTGTACAAATATAGCTTTTGTGGGGCGATCAAGGTTGATCGTTGAAAGGCATCATCTCTCTCCCCACCGTTCGCCTGGCCCCAGGGGGACCACGTGCATGGCTCCCGCACTTTGTAAGGGCCTTACGCGTGGCCATTTTTAGAATTGGAGCTCTGGTTGTCGTTGTAATTTCTTGAAGTAGAATTCCTGAATGTTTTACCGGACGAGTGGCGGCGTCCCCTTTTAAGAACCTGCATTGCACTCCGTCCGTTGTGAGACGACAACAATGCATCTCGTCTAATCAAAGGCAAGGTAGATGGCACCGCGACGATTCACTAGTGGCGAGGTCAGAGGAAATACGCAGGCTTTATTTTTTATAATCACTCACAATTAAAAAAAAACAAAAAAAGGAGGACGTGGCGAATTCCGCTGGCATGTTATCATCGTTCTCTTCCCGATGATATTGCGGCATTCGCCGATTATAAGGACGAAGAACAAATCAAGAATTGTGAAGATGTTAAGCTACGTCCGATGGTTTCTTCAGCTACTCTCGACAAAAAGGTAAAAAAAAGGTAAAATTCACGAAAGCAAGCCGAGAGATAGGACAAGAAATCCGGTAAAACAGCGAGCTAAGTGAATGCCCTCTCGTATTTTTTCACTATCAATCCCTTCTCAGGTTATGTAAAAAGAAAGTTAATACACGAACCAATAGATTGGTGAACTGTACTAAGACCGCCAAACTCGCTTTGCTTTTTGAGCAGGAGTGGTTAACTGCTTTCGCCTCTGGTGGAAGATACGACATAGGGCATACAAAACAATGTCTCTTTAAAATAAAAAAAAAATAAAATAAAAAAAAAAACAAACAAGGAGGACTTTCACAGACAACCACGCTCTTTCATACAGCAACGACGAAGATTTACTTACGGGCACGCCAAATTCACAGGTTGAGTATAACGGGGGAGGGCTGAAGGAATGGAGGTTACCTCCCCCGTTCTGGTCAACGCGTGAATTTTTCGTGCCCGGAAATAAACATTCGTCGTTGCTAAATGAAAGAGTGCGGTTGTCTATGAAAGCGATTCCCGTTTTTTTATTTCTATTCTAAGTATCCATAATTACTACACGCTCGCCTTAACCAGCCGATGCCCCAATGACAAACTTGGAGAACACAACATTATCAAAGCCAGTTCTGAAAACCCATAGAGATTCATTGCCGGGATTGCGGTCGTACGTAAAATCTAACCAACTGCAGCGTTCCAGGCCGAGGTAGTTATCAAATCACTAGGGATATTATCGAAACCGAAAATATAAAGCGGCTAAACGACCAGTGTGTCAGCACCTCGTCTCTAACATTGTCCGAAACGGAGTTATATTACTTAGCCAGATTTTCACACGGACAGAGCAGAGATTTAAACTAATTTTTTTAACGCGCCAAAAAAAAAAAAAAAAAGATACAGCGACGAAAGAAAGAAAAAAAAAAAAAGGAAAAACACAAACAGAGTTGTTAGTCGGCGCTTTGTGAGTAACCCCCTTTTTGTGTGCCCTGCAAACTGCGTTTCTGCTTTTGTGCGCTGTAACATCGGAGGACTCTAGGTGGTATTGCTTCTAGCGAAGATACTTGAGTGAGCAGGAGTTTTTGATAATTAGAATTTAAGTATTAAGCATAAAAAAGAGGAAGAGAATATATACAGAGAGAGCGAGCGAAGTAAAGGAGGGCGGTCAAAAGGCATGGCTACAGCAAACGGCTTAAATAGTAACAAAAAGAAGCGATGGCAAACTACTGCCTTTGCGTGAGATGATATAAAAATGCAATGTAAGTTCCATTCACGTAGCAGCATTTGACAATGTCTACCTAAGGGCCTTACGTCAAGAAACATGTGCGCGGTGCCACGACAACCGACTGTTGAGCCGCATTGGACATTTAGAGGTAAGAACTACGTTTAGAGGCAAGTTCCCGAAACGTACCCAGTTAGACTTAAACAAACACTAGCTGTGTGAACGTTACTCTAGTTTTTAGGTATAAGCGGGAGTGGCGAACACAAAATTTTTCATTTCAAACATGCACACGTTTCCTTCACATTTCGTTCAGATAATGCATTGCTCTGGACATTTCGAATCCGGACACCATCCTCGCGACAACTTCTCGGGGAAGTTGCGGTGTTCCGCGATACACGACGTATTTTGCCCCGCGAAAAAAACAGCAACATCGAAATAGTTTCGTTGTCTCACCTTGTAGGCGAGTTTGAATGGGCGTGTCATTTCGAGATCTCAAAGTAACGAGGAATAATAATGGCATAGTTGGCCCTACTACGGTCGAGGTTACAAATTCTGAAGCATAATTGAATTAAAATCACTATCTCTGCAGTTCCATATTGAAGATTTTACATCAGCGTAGAGACGCATGACATATTTTCGGCGTATTAGAATAACAGTTTTTTTCTGTAGTTCAGGCGGAAGCAGCATTTGCAAGGGTATTTTTTTTGTGTTTGCAACAATATAAAAAAAGTGAGGTAGACAGTAAAAATATTACGTGTCTGTTTTTCTTAAAACAAATTTGAACGTTGTAGCGTAATTGTTACTCACCAGAGAAGTAATAAAGTAGTTGTGGTACTCCGACATCATGTCCACTTGCTGAGCCTGCAACAAGCGAGAATCATATTTCTATTATGATTTTCTTTAAACAAAAACTCACACTTTGTGCGTTTTCTAATGCGGTAATTTAAAGAAAAACAAAGTTTCCGTTCCTGTGTGCACTCCGAAGCTGTTGGTGCAAAAATAAACAACAAATGTTCACTGATACCTTGTTTTTGAGGAACAAACATATTCGTGTCTTTTAGCCACAATAAGGTTCATAGTTAAATGTTGTCCATTCGAGAATATAGTTACAAAAAATGTGTGGTAATTTCGGAAAGCTGGAAAAACATCAGGTATTTTATTTTTAAGGTAATATTTAACCATTTATTTGTTGGGCAATAGTTATTTGCAGTTCGTCTTCACACAGTCAATCAGTTTTCTTACTTAATATACACGGTGTTTGATTTTAATTCGAACAGGAAGTTCAAAACAAGGGGTGGGAATTAGACGAGTGCCGTCTTCACCGCGTATTTATCAGGCTTGGGGGATGGAGGGATAACCGTCACGGTAAGGTGGCTAAGTATAACTAAAGATTGTTAATGAACTTTTTATTATTATGTTGCAACTTTTTACGGCTATTACTGCTCGAGGCCAGACCAATTAAAATAATTTGCGAAGATATACTAGTTTTTGATATATTAATTAATCAATTTTCACATTTTTAGCCGGATTAATAATTGCACGCAAAAACAGCGTTGCAAACTTTGCCTACTTCGAGGCTTAAAAAAGTGACGTAGGAGTTTCGGTCTGTACGATAAAAGCGCTAAAAGACGACGGACAAATGAAAAGACTACTAACACCACAGATCGTTCTGTGGTGTTCGTAGTTTCTAAACTTGTCTGTCTGTTTAATTTTTATCGCTTTTATTCTATACAATAAATCACCAACTGGCCTAAGTACCTTTCGGGCCATAGGAGCTGAAATTCGGCTTTTTTCTGTCGTTTTCTGCGTCTGCGGAACCAAAACCTCTATTATCCATCAAGTTGTCGAAAATTACGAGGTGTACGGAACCTCAACTTCACATTCCGTGACCAGATAGGGCTATAGCTCTCTCCAAAACTGGCAGGCACGCAATACGAGTATGACGGACTGTTTTAGCTCATACTGTCCGCGATAGTAACCCTTCTACAGTTCGTTTTAGTCCCGTTGTCACTTGTGTCGTCGGCGCACCCATCAGGGTCCCCGTGGCTTAATAGTGACGACAGTATTAAAAACGCCTGCGTCACTCTTCCAAGCGTCACTGTTGACAGGATTTGCGGCGCTCTTTTTGCGTGCCATTCTGAAGTCGCGCTAAAAAGGGACGAAATTCATTGATAAACACCTAAAAGTTTAATCAATATTGTCAATTTCGTGTCATTGATGTGGCTTCTAACAGCAATCGCCGTCAAAACTGCAATTACAACATGACCCCTAAGATCATTAGTTAAAAGTGATTAAAAAATGTAATTGATCAGCTATTTAACAAGACGATTATCACCTCATCGAATGTCCACCAAACCTGATAAATACATGTTGAAGACGGCAATCGCCTATTTCTCACCCCCTCTTTAAAAAGAAAAAAAAAGTTGTGACAGATATAATAACAAACAGATTGTATATCGAAGCTTACTGAAGCAAACAAAGAACGTTATGGCGGCGATACCCAGTATTTCAGATTAGGAGACAACCGTTTCCTCTTGAAGTTGACTGTGAAAGTACCAGAACGCCAGGCTTCCACCGATTCGGTTTTGCAAAATACAACGGTGATGCTAGTTGTAAGAAGTGGGATTGTTGTTTCGTTTGTTCCACATGGCTATTTTTCCTTCGTAAGTTGTAGCTTTGCACGCTGTACAGTTCATTTTCAGAAAATTGCTTCACGTTGCCGTCCCATGTAGTCCCTACCTTCACTAATAAAAGTCCGAACCACAACATTAATGTCTTTGCGGCGTTTGTCTCCGCAGGCTACATGCATAAAGGGTTCAGTTTCTAAAAGAGAAATACTTACGATAATTTAATTACAAAAACTAACGGTATCCGAGTAGGCGCGAAGCATGAGAGCGAGGAAGGAACACACGTGAACGCACGTGTTTCAGAGCCGTGTGAATCCGCTCCGTAGGCACGTCCAGGACGATGTTCTTGATGCCGCTCTTGCCGACATCCTTGAGGATCTTTCGGTATTCCACTCCGGACTCGAACTGCCGCACTACCACCTTCCGCTCGCGCATCAGAGGATCTTTCAGGATCTCTTGGAGTCGGATTAAGGCTGCAGAAGAACACGACAAATCAACATTATTTTTTTTTTTAAATTCTCAATAAACGTAATATTGTAAAAGCCTTTTAAAACAATCGGGTTATGTTTTCACAAGCCTTTTCGCTTTAGGAGGAATAATATGCTGTGCTGAATGCACGTGAACAATCGTTTATTGTATAGTATACGTGTATCTTAACCATCTGGGTAGTTTCGCGGCAACTTATACAAGGTGTTTGAATTTAATCCGAACATATTTTTGTTTAATCAAGGGGTGAGAGACGATTGGTCGTCTTTACCCTGTCTGTATCAGGCTAGGCGGATATTAGAGGATGGAATAATCGTCATAGTTAGCTGGCTAATTAATTGATATCTTTTAACTAAATTGTTAATTATTGTTTTTTTGGGGGTCATGTTGAAATAACAGTATTGATGGAAATTACTTTACAGGCCAGAACATTTGAAAGAATTTGCGAACATATAATATATTTGAGATAATGATGATACAATTTCACGTTGTTTAGGCGATTTAAGAATCGCGCGCTAAAAGAGCGCCGCAAGTCCTGCCCACAATGATTCTTAAAAAAGTGACGTAGTCCTTTCTGTCGCGTCGTCTCTCGTGTCGTCGGGGCGCCCACTAAGGGCACCGAGATAGTGACAACGTGATTCAAACGACCACGTCATTCCCTCAAGCGTCATAGCGGCCAGGGGCTGTGGCGCTCTTTTGGCGCGTGATTCTTAAATCGGGCTGAACAACGTAAAGATCAATAAATAATATTTAAAAAAAAACTAAAATTTTCGCAAAATATTTTTCTAGTCTGGCCTCCAATAGGAATTGCCACCAAACTGGAATTGCAACATGGCCACTAAACCAATAGTTAAAAAGTGAATTATTAAATGTTTGTTCATTAGCCAGCCTAATAAGACGATTATCCCATCATGTTATGTGCGCTGAGCCTGATAAATACATAATAAGGACGACACTCGTTTAACTCTCCCCTACATGAAAAAAAGATGTGTTCGGATTAAGATATAACGGCAGGTATACGATATTACATAATATTTACAGGTGGCTAATTAATGCAAGATTATTGTCACAGGTATGGAACTGGGCAAAGCAGTTTTGGAGAAATCTGGGGAGCAGAAAAAACTGCACTTTGGAGCAGGCTGGGAGCAGCAAAAACGAGGACAAGGAGCAAGTTGGGAGCAGCACACGAGTTTTAAGAATGTTAAAATAAAAACTAAAAATCCCCTAATTAAAAAAAAAAAAAAATGGTATGCAGACACTCCATGTGAACTTAACGGTAGTTTCAATAAACTTTTTAGTGGCAAACATTTTTCACAAAACTACGTGCTAATTACACACAAACGTATGAAGCAAAACTGCAGATGACTCTGGGACACCGTGACGAAACCGACCTGAAGAGGTAAATATAAACAGGTACAAATACCTTCCAATGCTCGGGATTGACTAGAAAGGTGCACCGAAGATTAAAAATGCAGGCACAGAAATGGTCTTTCAATTTTTTAGTGACTAGAGAAAGATAATAAATGTCCGTGCTTATATAAATCTATTAGGACTTCGTCAATTGCTCACGGATACACATCACGTTTTCGAGATTCGGAGCCAATTTCGCATTAGCCTCCGCTAACAGCACTTGTCCAGACCTAATTTTCTCTATCTCCTTTTTTTTTCTCAGACCCGACTCAATCAATGACTGCGCATGTTCAAGCATAGTCCGCTAACAGATGATGCGCTGTTCAAGTCGTCGCTGTCCTTCCTGAAGACGAGCTCTCTTCGTACTCGCTTCACTGTTCTCCCTCTTTTGCCTCCCGACGTCTTATTTTTCGACCTCTAGCCTTTCTGTGTAAACTTTATGAGACTTCTTCGCAGCTTGCGCACTTTCGTGATATCATTGCCAAATCACTTAAGGTAGCTTTTGACTTCGCGCATACCGTCTTCAAAGCGCAATCAGCGCAATCACAAACTGACAGCTCGCATCTTGCTCCGTCAAACGCCTCACTGCTCGATTGCCTTTGTTCCCAAGTTTTCTGCGCGGGACCGCGGGGCGAGCCAACGCGGGCTACGGGATTGTAATAGCCCCACGTTTGCTCCACTATTTAGATCTTCAGACGAAACGACTCCAGGACTTCAGAAAAGCACGGCGAGCATGCAGCAATGGCCGCTAACGTTGGCGGCAGCAACCTTCAGATACAGATCTTCGGATTCGGATCCACTGGCCGGAAGTTCCGGTATCAATGTTGCAAGCGGAAACTGCGAGACGGCTAATTTCGAAGAGGCTCGTTTATAATTCCAGTTTGGGCGCACCCTGGCGTAATTTTGTTCTTATTTATACTTTTGTGTCAGTGTGGCGCATCGAAAGTCATTAGTCTCATGGTTGCGCATTTAGCGCACAAGTTCCATCCCTGTTATTTTGCATGATACTTAGATCCTTAGTAAAAGTTGTCTACCCAAACAGAAGCCGTAAGTCTAATTGCTTGGTGCGCAGAATATCGACAATAATAAAATGATTATTGCTGAGTACAAGGATGCCTCAAGCCTATATTAGCACAACAAACAGTACAGTTTGCGGTGCAGACACTCAGTACAGCGTCCTAAGTGTTATAGCATATACATTAAGGCATTACTTGATCATCGTATTGGACTTAACTCCTTCAATTGGGTTGCGGTGACTATAATTTACCTTAAACTTAAAAAAAAAGACGGTGAAAGTATTTTTATGAAGAACACGAAGACAGCCGAACAATAGACGGATTCTAGGGATTAAAGCTCAGAATACGATTAAATCTAGAATTTCAATGTGTGCAGGGTCAATGAGCGGGATGCTTTGCTGCATCATTGTCCATGCGCATATCTAATTTTTCTTTCTAATCGCATTTTGAGCCTCGTCATTTGCTGGGATCTTTTTATTTTTTACCGTGATTGACCTTTTCCATGTTCTGCAGGAAGGTGAACTGGCAGGGATATTATAGAGCGTAGATGTGACTGAACGTACAGCTGCTCAAAGGAGGTAACCTCTGAAGTCATGCTCCCGCATCCAGTACCTCCCACTATAGTGCACAGGACTCCTGAAGTGTAGTACAGTCCTCCGCGCTCTCGGCACTTAATTAAAGGCAGGCATTTCTTCTCGAGAGTAATGTTGGCCGGAGGTAAGGCATTTTTAATTTCAGAAAACAACATTGTAGGTTCTCTCGTTAAAAGCGGAGCCCAATCGTCCCTCACCGTCGTTCTCTTCGTAGAGGATGGCGAAAGTCCTCCAGTCCTTGTGCTTGATGAAGTCCAGATAGGCCTTGCCGAGGGCTGCCGGGTGCGGGAACAGGTTCACCGAGTGGTTGTCGGGCCTCGCCCTATAGTCCCAGTGGGTCTCGATATGCGGCACGTCCAACACGTCGCACGCCGACCGAACCGCAGCGCTGGCTTCACCCGACTGTGGTCCGAACACCGCGGCCACGCCCTCTTCGAGTAAGGAGCACACCTTGCGGGACGCCTGCGGGAAGGACATCATTCGTCTTGTTGAGCATCGATAAAGAAACCATATCGAGGCTCAACGGGCAGCTCTTTTTGGAAGACCTCCTCCGTTTGAATGACGTCCTGTTGGAAGACCTCCTCTTAGAGGACCTCTTCTTAAAGGGCATTCCCTTAGAGGACCTCATTTTAGAGCACACATTCATGAAAGGCATTCTCTTAGGGGACCTCTTCTTTGGTGAGATCCTATTGGAAAACATCCTTTTGGAGGAACTTTGTTTAGAAGGAACCTTCTCTCGGAGAACATTCTCTTTGGTATATATAAAAAAAGAGCGTAAAGACGAGGACGAAGTAAAAGGTAACCTACCGGTTGTTGTTGTTGATTACGGGCTTTATGGCGCAAAGCTACTATGGCCATACTGTGCCAAGCTTGTTTGTTTGAAACATGCTCAGGACTGATTGATACAAATTATCTAAAAAGGTTTTTGTGACAAGGTTAAAAGTCATAGAATTCAAGTTACGACTCCAGTAAGAAGCCGGTTTCTCTTAAGTAATTTATGACACGATAAAACAGTACTATAGGAGTTTCCCAATTATCAGCACTGGGTGAAAAGGAATCTGGCGTGCAAAAAACTCGGGGAAATGTGTACGTCGTTCTTGCTCAAGCCCTGAGGACAGCCACAAAATGTGTAAAATTGTTAAACGCTCCCCACAGTCATCCCACAGGGGTGGGGCTTCCCTCTGAGCAGATGTTTGTGGGTGAGGTAGGAGTGTCCAATTCTAAGACGACACGAAAGAACTTCATGGCGGCGGGTTCCCGTGGGGTGCTCTCTCCCACTTACCAAGAACTGGTTTAATCCTGTGAGGTTTGTTTTCGCATTGCAGACTCCACTTCGATTGCCATAGCTAGAAAACTAATGATTTTACTAAGGGCTTCATATATTGAAATGGAATCTGTGAGGTAGTTGGCGGTAGGTGCTTAGAGCTAGGGCCAATTCGTCAGCTCTTTTGTTACCTAGAATCCCCATATGGCTAGACACCCAGCAAAATTTTGTCTCAGCCAAGCCGCAGACCACATTGTAACTTTGATTGGACAAGTTGTGTCAGTCTATTTTAACTTCCCTTCATTGAGCAAAGTGTGGTGAGCACACTTTGAGAATCCACGAATAAAATAGATTTCATCGTCTTGCTGGTGAGAATATACTCCAAGGCCGCCAACACCGCATACAGCTCTGCCATGTAAATACTTGCACATTCCTTGAGACGCTGAAGATTACTGAAGCCTTCAGAGTAAGCTGCTGATCCTACAAAATGCAATGATTTGGCACCATCGGTATAAAATTGGGAGTAGTTACCATACTTCTTCTGCCCCTCACGGAATCCTTGCTGAATCACCCCTGGGGAGATGTTATGTTTGTTAAATCTAGTAAAGTACCAATCACAAAAGAGGGGCAACATACTCCACGGAGCTTCATTTTCACACTTCTGCAAAAGGTCGTTCTCGTGAAGGGCGAGGTCAGGAGATGTACAAATGCCCTCAAGGCGAAGGCTTAAAAGCGGTACAACCATGGGCTTATGTTCGAAAAGACAAGCGAACCGAGAATGTTGCAAAGCACCATAACTTGAGTGATTTGGTTAGGACAGAATTCTGGAAGCATAAGTAACAACCAGATAACGTCGTCCGTGCCTAAGTGACATTTGATTAGTAGTAGTAGTAGTGCTTTATGAAGGAAAGGCAGAGATTTTAACCCGAACGTCAGTTCTAGTTTGCTACTCTGCACCGGGGATAGGGAGAGGGGGAAGGAAAGACATAGCAGTGGGGTAGGAATATAAGGTGAAAATTGTCAATGAAGATGATTATGATCTAGTGAATTATGTAAGCAGTCTCATATAAGATTCTCAGTCATTTAGAGTCTGTCCGAAAGTCCTGTGTCTCTCAGAAATCGTATTAGAGCCTCGGTGGCCTTCATAAACTGTTCGGTTGTGTCCCAGCTGCCAAGCATTTTGAAAGCGCTAAACGGACGCGAATCTATTTTTTGTAATGTTTCTTGAAGCGTTTGGCGTTCCTCCTCGTACTGAACACGTTGGCATAAGACAGGCTCAATTGACCCCTCCACCTCACAGCTGGTGCAATCCCCGCAGATGTTCTGTCCTATTCGACAGAGGAACTGCGGTGTATATGCTACACCTAGTCGCAGTCGGTGCAGAGTTGTTTCCAGTCGTCTTGAAACTCCGGATGGAACGCGAAAGGTTCGTTGGGGGTCTAGAGAGTATAATCTCCGGTCGTGTGTTTTTACGTCCATCCAGTGTCCTAATGAAATTGTCTTGGCCAAGGCTTGAACTTTAGAGTTGCTGTCACTTTTGGAGTAAGGTATCAGAATTGAATCGGCACTGATCGTTGACTTGGCGGCTCTGTCTGCTGCATAATTTCCCGGGATGCCACAGTGGCCTGGTATCCACTGAATAGAAATCTGGTGGCCCTTTACGAGGGCTTGATGGCAGAGAGCGGATACCTGATATGCCAGTTGGTCGTACGCATTGCGTTTCATGAAAGTCTGTATTATTTGTAATGCTGACTTTGAGTCACTGAAGATTGTCCATGGTAGCGGTGATCGAGACATAATGTACCGTATTGCTTCTCGTATGGCAGCTAATTCGGAAGCCGTTGATGTCGTTCGATGCCTTATCTTCATCTTGACGGTATGATTGTGGGCAGGTATGACCATTCCAATCCCAGACAGTGCTTCAGAGGACGACCCATCGGTGTATATATGTGTCGACAAGTCGTATGCTTCATTGATGACTCCTAATGTCAGTTGTCTGAGAACTGGAGATGGAATTGACGTCTACTTATGTATACCTTTTACGTATAACGTTATTCTCGGCTTCAGAAAGGTCCATAGTGGTATTCCTTCCCTCTGTACAGGAAATAGGTCACTTGAAACAATATTGTGTTTCGTTATCGCTTTGGAGAAGGCAGACTCTGGTCTCTCTGAAGGTAACGTGGCCAGATGGTGGTTCGGATGTCTTGTAAGGTGTCTTAAATGTAATCGGATAGTTTCTTGTATCATATATGCTTCAATGGGATACCTTCGAGCCTCCGCAATTGTACCGGACGTTGAAGCACATCGTGGCAGCCCTAAACAGGCGCGTAGCGCTTGGGCTTCAATGCACTGGATAGCTCGTATATTGCTCGCACAGGTGTTGTTCAGAATAGGTAAGTGGTATCTCAGAAGTCAAAGAAAGAAGGCCTCAAACAGTCTCTGTAGGCAGCCTACGGTGGCGCCCCATGTTGTACCACTGATAAATCGCATAAGATGTATTTTGGACGTCAATTTCATCTCGAGTCGTGAAACATGAGGCGTCCACGCAAGACCTCTGTCCAGAGTGAATCCGAGATAATTATGCTGCCAAACGCTGGGGACTGTTTCTCCACCGACGACAACGGGATATCTCTCCATATGCTCGCGAGAGAATGTCATAGCAGCGGACTTTGAGACGGAGATCTCGAGTCCACGCTTTCTTCGATATTGATGTATTGTCTTCAGAGCACATTGGAGTCTTGCCCGTATCTGAGGTCGTGTTACACCAGACGCCCAGATACAGATATCTTCAGCATAAAGTGATACGTGTACTGTCGATGGCAGTTCTTCAGCAAGATTAATCAAGACTGTATTGAATAAAATTGGGCTTAGTACACCGCCCTTTGGTACCCCTCTTGTTATGACATGTGATGTAGTGTTTCCATCGTAGGTAGATATGTAAATATTTCTCCTCGTCAAGTAACTCTTCAACCAGGAGTACATGCGCCCCCCAATACCAAGATCTTCTAAGGCGTGTAGGACGGCCTCATGAGTCACGTTCTAATATGCGCCTTTGATGTCAAGAAATACAGCTGTGGTGAGACGTTGCCGTGTCCTCTGTTGCTCTACAAATGATACCAGATCGATAACACCATCTATAGAACTTCGACCGCGTCGGAAACCAGACATTATTTCTGGATAATAATTGTTATTCTTTAAGCACCATTCTGGGCGAAAATTCAACATTCTTTCCATTATTTTTCCCATGCAACTAGATAGTGCTATTGGCCTGTAAGACGCAATATCGTATGGTGACTTTCCAGGCTTGAGAATGGGTACGATACGTGTTGTCTTCCATGTTGAGGGTATCTGACCCGTCTCCCACGAAAGATTAAAAAAATCAAGGAGTTGCTTTCGGCTTCGAGAGCCAAGATTTCCAAGTGCACTGTACGTGATTTCATCAGGTCCTGGGGTCAAAGCCCGGTTTGCCGTTGCCAGGGCTGCCCGGAGCTCTTCCTGCGTAAAGGGCAGGTTCATTCTCTCGTCGGATGATGATGGTACACGCCCTTGTAGAGAAGCATTAGTTATGTTAGAGGCCGCTTCATTTTGGGTGAGGTAGCGGCAGAAAGTTTCCGCAGCTTCGATTTCAGATACATTCAGGTGCAGAGATAAGACGCGGAAAGGATATCGTCGTTGAACTGCTCGTTGACCTCGTGCAATTCGCCAAATCCCCGTAAGTGGTTTTCTGGGATCAAATTTTGAACACTTCGTTCTCCATTTGGCAGTTCCAAGTTTTTGGAAGCGTCGACTTATCTTTTTCTGTGTTCTGCGAGATTCAAGGAGATCCTTCCTGTCTTTGGTCCTCCTGTATCGCCTTTCCGCACGGCGACGGACAGCTCGCAGATGCTCATATTCCGAGTCGATTGCAGTTCGGGTTGTGGGAACACTGTAGCTTCTTGTCGCAGCTTTTGTTGCAGCGACAATGGCAGTGCCGAATTCATGCAAACTGGTAGAAGACGTACAGAAGTCCTCCATCGACGCTTGATAGTTCTGCCAGTTTGTGCGATGAATAACGTGGCAAACATTTTGTCTTGAAAATTCTTTTATGGTGGTGTAGGTTGGAATATGATCACTTCCGCGGGTTTCATTATCTGAGAACCAGGTAGTGTAAGGAAGCAGTTCACGAGAAACGAAAGTAAGGTCGAGGCAACTGCTATAC